TTCGAAGCGCCTGTCCCTTGAAAAAGTCAGAACCTTAGATGAGGCATCGTTGCACTGCTGGAACTCCAATGTTTGGGGCATTCTTGAGGTTTGCTCAACCACATTCTCAACTGGAATGGTCTTATTTCCAGGCTTGGCTTGATCCTTTTTGATGTGGACTTACAATTCAGTCCTTTCAGGCAGGTCCGGTTGGTGACGCCAACACAATTGTGCCGCGAACTCAAGATCTTAAGTGCGTTTCCATCCCTAGCCGCCAGAAACCAAAAGGGGTGTCTACGGCAAGGTTTCTACATGGAACCAGCAGTACAGCTGCTGCATTCTTTTATCAGGTGCGATCTCGCAACTTTGAAATAAGGACACGGGGAAGAAAGGCAAAAAGGGAAAAACAGGATGATGAAAGAAAGGACAAGTTGTTCCATATCTTGATGTGGCCACGCTCCTGTGCCAGGTTACATCTCTCAGTGAAAAGGGTTACCATGAAGTGGGCTTAGTCTTATTTGTATTTGCATTGTGTTGAGAATGTCTGAGCATGAGTACATGCCATGTGTTTGTCAGGTAGTGAGCGTGCAATACCCAGCCTTTTCCAACCCTTTGGACTGGTGCAAGGCATGGAGCCACACCAGATTTTGTTGAAGCTGCGTGCAAGATTTTCTTGTTCCTTTATTTTCCTGCAGTTTCAAGCAACATTCACTTGGAGCGATGACATTGTTCAGCATGTGACAATCTGAGTTTTGGGAGGGTTTCGATCGCTTCCTGGATGAGATCAAGCGCCTTCTAAGCGTTTGGAAGGCTGAGATTAGATTAGACAGAGGACTGCAGACATTTCGCCCTCAAGTACAGTTCTCAGTACACCATGAATCCCAAAGCCGGCATGGATGAGTCGAAAAACTTATTGTGATTGATGTTTGTTTGCCTGTGAAGTCCTGGACAAGGGTGTCCTTCTCATTACACCTAGCTGTGGTTCCCACATGGGAATTGGGGAGATGAGTATTCGTTCAACTGGTGTTCACTCAAGAACCACGTTCGTTCTGATGCCACGACCCAGAATCGCATCCCTTGGAATGTGAACTCCAAGCAACTCAGGTGCCGAGCGGTTCATGTCGTAGGAGCTGGTCTTGGTTGCTGACTTGGATTGTTTGAGGAGATGTTGCAATAGCCACTGTAGTCATTGTTTGGGCAGACGATCCTGGTGAAGAGCATTTAGGTGGTTTCCTGGCCCAGCATTTCGCATCAAAGTATGCCGTGCGCGTGAAGCAGGGAACTCAAACGCCTTCTGACACTGGTTTGCTTCAAGGAGTCCCAAAGCACATACAGCTAGGTCACTGGTGCTTTGCAACTCCTTTGCTTCTACCTATGCCTTCGAGTCGAGAGCTGGCACGCACCCATCTCAAAGGGTTTCACATGCTGGTAATGCGATCCATCAATGCCCGATTCTACGGAAAGAGAGTGGGAGAAAGAGAGAGAGAGAGAGAGAGAGAGCGAGGGAATATAGCATTGCTGGCGCAATCAGTGTCCACAATTTTTCTGTACACCGTTTACACCGTTACACCGCCTACACTGTTCACACCCTTTACACCTCTACACCGTTTACACCGTCACACTGTTAACCAGCGGCTCAGCGCATCCAGCGTAAACCAGGGTATCCAGCGTAAACAGCGTCCGTCACCAGCGTAACCACCGTAAGCAGCGTAACCAGCGTAGTCCCCGTAACCAGCGTAAACAGCGCAATCAGCGTAATCAGCGTAATCAGCGCAACCAGCGTAGTCAGCGTAAACAGCGTAAGCGGCGTAGTCAGTGCAACCAGCGCAGCCAGCGTAATCAGTGTAACCAGAGCGACCGCAGCAACCGTCAGCGTACCAGTGTACCAGCGCACAATCGTTCGCGGACACGCTTTGCCATGTCGCTCGAATATAGATAACACTGCAGCATTGCGGGATTGGGCTACAGTAGCCTCTAGGTTACCGTCGCCGAGCCTAGAAAGGAGGTCTTTGCAGAATATGGCTTGGTGCAGTTGTCAACAAGCCTGTTGAAATAGTATCAGCATCCAAGCTAGACACCTCTCTGTTCTTGGCACTTCTTCAATTCCACAAACACATCCACCAACTTTTGCACCACTTTGTATCTCCAAACGTCCACTTTGGACCCCTTGGGATGGCTGGAGGGCCAGCTTGAATGGGCCAAGAACTGGAAAGGCATCGGATGTGAGGAAGGTTTGTGTAAAGGCAGTTTCGCCAGATTGCTCAATGGCGATATGCCAAGGTGGGGATCCTTGATTCCGGTGATGCCAGCCACATTCTTGCGACAGGCCGCTGATGCGTTATCATTTTTTCGTTCTAGCTAAGTGCTTGTGTGTGTTTTGGCCCGTGGCAGGCCATGCAAGATACTCTGCCCCAGGCAGAAGACAGTACTGTACTGTGCGAAAGGGTGCAAAACGACAGACTTGAAGGGATCCGAAGGGATGGTTGTTTTGGTTGTCTAGGGTGGCTTTATGGAGCTGAGCGCCAAGCAGGCGATCGATTGGGTCGGCCAGCAGGCGCTGCGATCATCTCGGGTGTCAGAGTGCAGGGCAATGGAGCGGGGTGGAGCGGACTGGAAAAGGGTGTTAGGGGTGAGCTGGCCTTTTAAAGGGGCACATGCAGACCGCTGAGGGACTTATGTAAGACTTACGATGGGTCTTGTTTCAAGGATCTTGCGGCGAAGCTTCATGGGTTTCAGACACCAACACCGTCTAACCAACACTTGCCAGATGAACGACCTGAGTGGCGATGACTTGGCCAGCAGGCCAGACATTGGTTTGTGGACGGGAAGTGCAAAGTAGTGAGGCTTTGGAAAGCTGAGCCGATTACGTTTGTGCCAAGGCTGAGCCTCAACTGCAGTGGCAGCCATGTAGAACCTTTGCAACTTGAGAACAGCAAGGACGGACCATGCACTTTTGGTCGCTCTTGCAATTTACTTATTTGTCAGAGTTGCACTCCGAGCACAAAGCCTTTCAAAGCCCTTGTTTTCTTGGCAAATTGACCAGCTTCCTGAGTACAGTATGTGTTACAGGCTTCCTGGCATCCTGTTACCTTTTGTTCTGAATGGGTGGCCCCAACCCTCCTTTGTTCAGTTTTGCAATTGACACAGATCACCATCCTAGAGTCCAACGGCGAGACCATGGTGCCAGATGAACTGCGACGGCAGCTCAAGCTCATGTGAGCCTAGGAAGAGGTTGGTCGTTTCGAGCCATTGGTGCAGAGCGTTCTTTGGTATCGACTTTGGAGGTATCAAGGAGCTTGCTTTGCAGAGCTGAAGTCTCGGGGTGATTTTCCCTATCTCTCTCGGCCGGAAGAGGAGATAGCATAAGTTTGTTTGCTTTGCTGTGATGACTTGGTGACGCTTCAACTCTTTTGGCAGGTGACTCTCTTCATCGAGGTGCACATGCGACGCCTGGTCTCCCCGAAAGGACCACAGAATGCGTCTCGTATTCTGGGGGAGGGCAACAGTTTGCCTTGGCTGAAGCCTTGAATCGTCAGACCAAATGAGCGTCTATAGTCTTATAATATAACTCCCCACAGACAGACTTGCATTGAGAGGCGGGTGCTGCTCAGACCCCTACATCCCCAAAAGCTCTTTAAGGAAAGCAGCTGGGGCAGCTCCAATCGTGCTTTTGTCTCAAGAACACTAGTGTAAGTTTCCTTAAAAACAATCAGGACCCAAATCATGACGCCTGAGCCCTTCTGCGTCCCATCGGTAGTAGCTTAAGCTACTACTTACCCCCTCAATACTAGATACTTAAGCTACTTGTCGGCCTCAAAGCTTTGAAGAGAGCTGGAAAAACTGTTTTGCAACCAAGACATTTTGCGGGGCAAACCATTGGAGGCATCGGACATGGAATCTCTGTCTAGACAATCAGGGGACCTCCAACTGATTTTAGCATCTTTTCACCGAAACGAGTGTCTGCAGGAATCCCGGAGGATTTGCCGGCCTCGCAGAGGGAGGAAGGCCAGTTGCCATTGGTGTACGGAGCATTTTCGACAGGAGCTCCATTCAAGATATCCAATATAGCAGCAACTCCATCTTCTGACTGTGGCCCAGAATCTCTGCATTTCATTCCGAAATATTCCAGCATACTATTGGCCCATCAACATGTCATTCCTTGTTGCATGCCTCTGTCAACCTTGGCCTTGGCCAGACGTGTTCGTGCCACACGTTGACGTCCCAGTCCGGCGAGAGGTGAGATCACTGAGATGACATCGGTTTTGTTGCATGATTTTTCTTGCCCAGATCAATCGGTTTTCTTGATTGTAAGAAACCGGGCGACATTCATTGCAGGTCTGGAAGAACCCCTTTGAGGAGATTGGTACTTCCATGCAAACTGTTGCTGTATTCTCTTTCGCTGCAGGACGATGATTTGTTGTAGTGGTCTGAATGGTCTGGACCATACAAGGTCTCTTTATGTACATAGCGAAGGGCGGTTTCCATCGAAGCATGCCACGTAAAGTCTTCTCGAAGGGCGGTCAGTGAGACATTGAAGACCCTGAGGGCGAAGACAAATTTGTATTTTTCTGTGATCGTGTGGGGTCGTGATGCTTCTTGATGCTTCGCCATGATCTCCTGTGATGATTCAAGCTTGTGAAGGAAGCCATATGTGGACCTTCTGTCATATACTAAGATAATTACTGACAAGCGACAGGACTCATCAAGCATTCATTTATGTTTACGCATAGAAGGGGCTTTGTGATTCTTGTGCCCAATGATTCCACGATGAGCTGTTTGGCTGCCAATTGACACTAAGTTTTTCCGTCAGTAGCACCGGCCTCAACACTGACGATCAAGGTGTTGCATTCAACTTTCATGGCGTCAGCTATTGTAGGAGTAGAGTTTGGTGGCATGATCAGTTATGGTTATGGTTATTGTTTCATATATTTCTGGAAGGACAGGAATGCAAACATAGCTGTTTTGAGATTCCAGCCCAATCGCAAACTGGCATTGTTCCTGGTGCCCAAGATGACCTAGCCATGAATGCTCAGGGTTTAGGCCGGCTTGACAGACTAAAGTCAGATGTCACACAGTCAAAGAGTGGTGTGTAGTTGGCAAATACATTTTTTTGTGTCAGGTGCTGGGTACCATGATAACACCTGGCAGTGGCAGGATCCCAGCTGGGGCTGGGAAGAAGGCAGATGAGTCGCGTAGTGTAGGAGAAGATCTGAGCAAGGAGCGATGCGGACATACCAGAACCATTTTGCAGGCTATTGGGACTCCAGCTGGTCAGGTGCGATGAGGTTTTAGAATAGTTGTTCTGCTGTGAGTCTTCTTGGCATGAGACTTGCAGTGGAGGTGTATTTGTATTGACGTTATTGAAGCATTGCTGTCATTCTTCAGCATGAGCGGATCCTGAAGGTGGTTGAACCTGTCAAAGGCACTGACCTGAACACATTACAGCATTACCACTCCAGATTTCTTAGAACAGAATCTTCACATCAGGAATATTTAATGACAACCCATATATATATAATATATTTTAGATCTCTCAGAAGTTTGACGAGCCACTCTGAAGGGTATGATTCGGTCCGATGGTTTGTACAGATCTGGATGGTGATGGCCTGCTGGGGGCCTTGGATTTCTTGGATTTCCCCGAGCTGGGCGCCTACTTAGCATGCTCCGGCCGACTCTCACGTCATGGGGTGGCCGCTTGGGACGCTCGCTCTTGGAGGATGCGAAGCTTAGATGCGCGGATCCCTTCACATGTGAAGTGGCGCCCCGAAATCCAAGAGGCACCACTTTTAGGTGGATTGGGTGTGGATTCATGTCGCGCCGGCAGTCTACAGGCCTGTGCCTTCTGGAGGCTTGCTCGAGGTGTACAGCTTTATGAGCAGAAGCGCTTCAAAGATGCAGAAGAGGAACTCAGAGCTTTGTTGAGCATCCTCCCATTAGACAGTCCAGGCAGACCATTCGCGAAGTGCCGTCTGGCTGACACCTTGTATGGTAGGGCTGTTTCCTTGAACTCCTTGAGAGCAGCCCAAAGTTCGCGCAGCTCAACACCCGCGAGTGCTGGTGAAGCCTGGGTCGAGCAGGATGAAGCAGTGGAGGTTGTTGAAGCAGAAGTGCCATTGGAGGTAGAAGTGGAAGGAGAAGTGGTAGAAGATGGGGCAGAAGTCGAAGTTGAAGTGGAAGGACTGGAAGCACTGGAAGGAGAAGCCCCACTGCGGATGCCATACTCTCCGCTTTCCCCTGCTCGCGAGGGTGATTTGATGCGCTCTGTCTCAACGGAGGACGCTCCTCAGGTGGAGCTCACGAGCTCCACAGCTTCGACGCCAACGCCGCCGTTGGCAACCCCGCGACTTTGGAGCACTTCTTGGACTCCACCACTGGAAGATGAAGATGAAGCAGAAGCCCAAGAAGCCGAAGCCCAAGATGCGGAAGAAGCTGAAGAAGCCGAAGCCCAGGAGGCGAGTCTGTCAAAATCCCAAGGAATGTGCTCAAGTCATTTTTTGAATATCGATTGTTGAGCGTTTTGTTCCTTAAGTCAGGAACCGCTGGAATCCCACTTGGAGGAGGTGACGGCAGTCGACCAGGATACGTTGCGTGCAAGGCGGCTTGCAGTCCAAGAGTACAAACATATTCATGAGACTCTAAAGAGATTATGATGGTGCAATACAGGCTCACTCAGATGTTCATGCTGCATGCATGTCTGAAGTCGACGAGTGGATGAGTTTGTGTTGCAGCCTCGTCATAACAGAGGTACTTTCCCATATTTGTTCTAGATTATATATAGTGAGCTCTATTTTTTTGGGGGCAGGAGGCCATTGCTAGTAGGTTGGAGACCATCGCTACAACGGAGGGTTGTAACAAAGCCTTTTTTGTTCAGGGCCACCAGCTTTGAGGAGGAGTATGAGCTGCAGGAGCCACCAAGGTGGCTTTCTTCGAAAAGTGACAAAGTCCTTTTAGACCACTGGAGCTTCAAAATGACTGAACAATGTAGCGTTCTTTTGGGGAATAGGAGAGAGCAATATTGTTGCCTTTTTCTTTTTTGCCCGAATGGAACATACCTATGTCACCTGCGTGCTTTTGCAGGCCACCTGGTGAAGTCAGGCTTACGGAGACCGATGAGGCAAGGATTTGCCTTTTTCCGACCCGAAAATGAATCTTGAACAGACTGGGTTATCCCTTGGCCGTGTTGCTGATTGTTTGAAGAAGCAAGAACTACAGCAACTAAAGCAATCTCTTCGACAGAGATCGACAGAGCTGGAGGCCGAGGAAAGTGCTTCAAAAATCGAAGTGCTTCGTGAAAGGTTTCTCTCCGAGGCTGTGGAAAAGCACATCCTGCTTCTTTTAGTTTATTCTTTGTGCAAATGTGGTAGTCGCGCTCGAAGTCGACCAGCAAACGAAAAACCAAGACGGCGCGCGAGGCGCCGAACAGCGCAGCCCTTTTCCAAGGGCGAATCCCACCCGCCTTGAGTGGGTCAGTTGCGGTCGGTCGAAAACCTGAGTCACCTGTGAACATGCCAGGTTGAACAGCGTTCAACTTACACAGGAGGAAAGTGGTTCCTGTGTGGCTTCGGAGCTTGGTGACTCAGCTACAGAAAATGCGTCTGCTTCTTGCAGCGCACCAGCTTCAAGCCATGTGCAAATGGCAGTCCTCAAGGACGTGCCGCCAGACAGGGTGACGTTGTCTGGTGGGAGGATTCTAGTGCTGCACAGGCTACAAGGATCAAAATGATCCACATTTCTCGGATCTCAGCCCTCCAGCGAGCTGCAGCTCTGGCTCACATGCAGCTTGCGGCCATGCCTCGAAATGAAGATGCCAACGTGCAAGGGGCATTCCAATCGATGGGCATCCATCTCTCTCAAACACCGGCGAAGGATGTTGCCGGCGCGGTAGGTCAACTCGCCAACATACTCCATGTTGGCAATGGCGAGCTTCAGAGCTTTTCCATTCTCCATGACAGTGCCTTCAGCTTCCAAGGTGCGAAGCTTCCATTCTTCAATTTCAGCACGGAGGCGACTGGAGACAGTGGTGTCCTCAGTCTGGGTGGTGGCATCAGCACACAGCACCTTCTTGCATGGTGCCCAATCCATTCGGCTCCATCGGCCCAAAAGAAACAGCGTGCTAGCCAGCAAGCTGAGGATGGTGATCACCGTCACGGTGAGGAAGTCAGGTTCCTCCGCAAGTCCAGTGTCGCTGGCCATGGCTCCAGGCAGCAGCAAAAGCACAAATGCCCAAAGCAAGACATTCATTCCTTAGGCGACACTTGATGACATACTGCATGCGGCTGCCGACATGGCTAGGAGCAGCAGCAGTGTCATTCACAAGGGCCTCATGCTCTTCAGAAAGGATGTTATATTCATAGGCCTCCATGAAGTAGGAGACTGTGTCTTCGGTGATGGCCATGTGCACATACTCTTTCACAGGGTCAACTTCCGTCAACTCCTCATTCTGTTCAAGGTCGTACTTCAGGCGAGGTGCTCGATGAAGTTCATCTGCTTCGGCGGCTGGACTGAGGGTGCTCTCCTGGATGCTGGCCTTCAACTCATCTTTAGTTTTCTTTTTAGCAGCTTTGTAGGTGGGGTCCCAGATGAGTTTGAGCTTGCCGTAGCGAAGGTGTTGTGCCAACAAGTTGCGGGCAGCTTCCTTCATGAGGCCATCAGCCAACTGTCGTTCGGACGACATCCATCGGAGATTTCCTCCGAGGGCCAGCAAGCGTTCCTTCATCACTCGAACCTCCAGTGACACTCGCTTGTCGACCACTGAGTTGCTGTAGCCCTCGCGATGAAATGAGTCGTAGAGGGCCTTGGCATCTGTCACCATGGTTGGTGCAAGAGGTGACTTGCAGTCGAGGAGGTCTTTCAGCTTTTGCCTGGGGTCGTGCAAGCAGCTCCAAAACACACAAACATGCTCCAGGGCGTCGCAGGCTTGTCCACCAGCTTGGGCTTCAGCGCCCAAAGATGATCTTGCTACTCGAGGCGTCTTCTGACTTTTCCAGTCCACAATGTGGTAGGCTCCTTCTGGTCCATCCGGCTTGAGGAGGTCGCCATGGATGAGGACAATAACGTAGCCCAGTTGTGAACTGCTGTCATTCCTGGTGGCAAAGGCGGCGTCGAAGAAGCGCAACAATCTCAACTCCTGCGCGGGCCCTAGAGGGTCATAGACCAAGCCAACATCTGAGTTCTCCTTGACGAACTTCAGGAGTCGATTGCAGTCCATCATGGTTTGGGTGGATGCTTTTGAGATGCAGCCACTCAACAGGGATGTGCTTCCTTGTAGATGCGGACTCGACTGCACAGCGGGCCACTGTAGTGAACCAAGAAGGGCTCGGAGTTGAGACACATCCTTTTCGGAGGCAGCTTCGGCAGGATCACGACGTTTGTCGATGGTGATTGGTTTGACTTTCTTCATGTATGTGTCCTGCTCAATCTTATAGCCACCGGAGTTGGTGAGCTTGATGTCGCAGCCACAGTAGGACAGGTCAGTGCCGTCAGCTCCGGTCTTCCACTCCCTGAAGTTGAACGTGCTCTTGAGCTTGGTGATGACGGAGTGGTAGGTCGTGGAGTCGTTGGAGCCGCAACCCAACATATCATCAACATGCATGATGATGATGCCGCATAGACCACAGGGTCCAAGCAAGTGCGGTTGCTCGTGCTCGGGGTTGTACTCAACATTGAGGTCCGCCTCGTAGGCCAAGAAGCAACATGGATCTTGTGGGCGCTGACGTAGGCCCATGCTCAATACCTTATCAACTGCAGCCATGTACCAGGATCTTGGAGCATCTGAATCTATCTGACCGTAGCAGGGCTCAAGAAGAAGCATCCTTGTGTCAGCTGAGGCACCGAGCAAATCAAGACATTCTGCAGGGAGTTGAACCCATAACTTTCTGCTTTGAGGCTTGCCCTGAAGAAATGCAGTGGCGATGTCGGACGTCCAAACTGGCCAGCTCATGCTGGCGGCCAGGCTCAGCAGCATGGATCTGGATAACCTCGTCGTTGTGGGCGACGAAGTGGGCACGGTGCCCTCCCAGGCATCGGGGTCCATGAAGCCACGGACAATGAGCCGCGCTTTGGCGCGGGGAGCCCCGTCAGGGTTCTTCGGCCACTTGAGCAACATACGACTTGTCAAAGTCCTGGATGGCTCGGCTTCTTTCGTGGTCTCGAAGGCCCAGACCTGGTTGTCGAAGAACGACTGCAATTCTTTCACTTTCGCACCCTTGAACTGAGCCCTCTCCTCTGGAGTCATTGTGCGCTCCGTCAGGTTGTTCTTGTCCTTCTTGAAGGCTT